GCCAGTTGGCGGCGTCGACCAGGTGGGAGCAACCGGCCAGTTGGCGGCGTCAGACTTTGGCCGTTTCGCGGGGGGAGGTCGGCCAGTTGGCGGCGACCAGTCGGGGGCAGTCGGCCAGTTGGCGGCGTCGGCCAGCGGGAAGGTCAGTCTGGGTGGCCCAGTTTGTATGGGAAAACGGCCCGACGCACGGACCACCCCATACAAAAGCACCCCCCTGGGAACCGCGTTCCTGCCACTGAGCGTTTGCACGGCCTTTTCGATCCCAACTGAGGCCGGTGGTCCGGTAGGGGGAGGGTCGCGGGGCGTCGGCCGCCAGTTGGCGGCGGAAGGCGCAGTGATGGGCGGCCGGGGGGGGGTTAGCGGGCCTGGGGCTGGGGCCTTTTGGGCGCCCGAACAATCCGCCAGTTGGCGGGCGCGATCGGCCAGTTGGCGGGGTTCTGGGGGGGGTTGGGGGTGTCGGGGGGGATATATATATCTACCACCACCGTCTCCCGCGGGAAGGGCTGGGGCGGCCTATCAGGCCAGTTGGCGGGCGGAATCCGCCAGTTGGCGGGCCGATCCGCCAGTTGTCCGACCCTTTGCTCACGGCTATGTCCGCTTCCTGGGGGGTTCGCGGGCCAGTCTGCAAGGCCCAGTTTGTATGGGAAAACGGCCCGACGCACGGACCACCCCATACAAAAACACCCCCCTGGGAACCGCGTTTCTGCCACTGAGCGTTTGCACGGCCTTTTCGATCCCAACTGAGGCCGGTGGTACTATGAGGAGGGCGAAGGCGAGTCAAATCGCCCGACCCCTCCCACATCCTTCCCTGCTCGGTTGGGTGCCTCCCCGCGCCCGGTGGTGGTCAGTTCCCCTGGAACCCCCCCCCGGACGCGCCGGCGCCCTCCTGCCGCGGGCGACGGCCGACCCCCCCCCAGCGGGGGGCGAAGCCGTCCCCCAAGGCAGCCGAACCCCGGGGGCTTCCACGCCGCCGGGGACCGCTGGGGTCTGTGGATCATTGGCCGCTGGCCATCGTTCCTTCAGCAGATCCCCGGGGGGAGCCGCCGCGCGGTATCCGCTGTTCGCCAGCGTGCCCGCGCGGTCGGACCCCCCACCCGAGGCCCGAATGCCGCAGCCCGACAGCGCCCTCCCGGGCGGCCTGCCGGGGTCCCCTGCGTGCGGACCGGTGTCCTGGGGGGCTCAGTGTGGGCAATTGGAAGGTCGTTCGTGGGTCCCCGGTGCGCCGGGGCCCCGCGGCGGCTGGATCGATTGTTTAATCATCCGCGACGCCTACAGTACGCGCTACCCCTCACGGGGCTCACGGGGGACCTGCCCGGCCGCATCGGCTGGGCACCCCCCGGGC